AAATACCATTTGATTTCACTCATATGTGGCATTTAAGAAGCAAAACAAAGAAAAATGAGACAAATGAAAAAACAGACTCTTAAGTATAGTGAACCCACTGATAGTTACCAGAGGGGAAGTGGGGGGTTGGGTGAAAAAGGTGAGGGGGATTAGGAGTATACTTATGATGAGCACTGAGTAATGTATAGAATTGTTCACTATATTGTACACCTAAAACTAATGTAACGCTGTACATTGATTACACTGGAATTTCAATTTTTTAAATTTTAATAAATTAATTAAAGGTGTCAGTAAATTCATTAGATTTGAAATTATGTTATTTTTAACTAATTCTAGTGCCCCTTCTGGCCAAACATATTCCATTGAGAAAGCATCCTGTAGAGGTTTTAATTCAGTTTCCCAATATGCTTTATAATCTGTATCAGTATTACCACAGGTCTCATTAGAATCCATTAATCTTACCGGTTATACCAGTATTACACCAAATAACAATTATATTATGGATTAGACAAAGATCATTACAAAATATGTCAGATTTAGAGTGGTATTTTCTTGGCCTTCCCCTCCAAAAGCGGCCTTTGCCCATACACTAGATACTGTCATGGAATGGAGTTTAAATCAAGGCCCAAGTGTCAGCCAGATTATTGAAATCTTTTGAAGACACAGTATCTGCATACTGGGGTCCATCTCTAAGGAATGCTTTGGCTTCCTAATATAAAAGAAGGCATTAGCCAAATCCAGAACAAAATACTCATGTCTCTGAGCATGTAGCATAACTTTAATTGTAGATAGCATATTAGATACAGCTGATGATTTGGGGGCCAGGGTGGGGGTTACAACTACCAAGTCCTCCAAAATCTATAGTTAACCTCTCCTTTCCATCAGTTTTCCTTACATACCATGAGACCTTTAAATGGGAATTTGTAAATACTAACAAACCTGCATCTAAAAGATCCTGGTGGGGGGGCACGCCTGGGTGGCTCAGTCGTTAAGCGTCTGCCTTCGGCTCAGGTCATGATCCCAGGGTCCTGGGATCGCGCCCCGCATCGGGCTCCCTGCTCAGCGGGGAGCCTGCTTCTCCCTCTCCCACTCCCCCTGCTTGTGTTCCCTCTCTCTCTGTCAAATAAATAAAAAAATTAAAAATTAAAAAAAAAAAAGATCCTGGGGGTGTCTGGCTAGCTCAGTTGGAAGAGCATGCAACTCTTGATCTCGGGGTAGTGAGTTCGAGCCCCCCTGTTGGGTGTAGAGATTACTTAAATAAAGAAAAGCTTAAACAATTTTTTAAGTTAAAAAAAATCAAAGATCTTAGCTAGGGGCATGTGGCTCAGTCAGCAGAGCATGTGACTCTTGATCTTTGGGGTCCTGAGTTCAAGCCCCACGCTGGGCCTAGAACTTACTTAAAAAAAAAAAAAGGACTCAGTAGATTTATATAACATCATATCCATTCCAATAATGCACTATGGTCAGGGGGAGGCAACAACCATACATGGTTTCTGTCCAGAAATTCCTTTGTGGACTATGCTTTCACCTGTAAGCCTTCTAGAGTAACATCACATTCCTGTAATATTTCCCTCTCAATTTTCATTTGACTTTTAAGTCGTAACAATACACAGATCATCAAGCCTAGCAACTGTGTATTTTTTACTGCCCTAAGGCCATGTCACCAATACCAATGAAAGCAGACTTGGGGTCCCTGCTGGAAGGTCATGAGACCCCATCACTCAGTCATAATCCTCTGCATTTCCTTGCCTGGTTATAATCAAAACAGGTTCTGAGAAGATTATAGAGCCCTCTTTTTTATTATCTTAATATTTTAAAAGTTTATTTTGACTAGGATAAATTGAATTTGTCCCAGTTCTTTGAACAGATTGCCAATTTCTTAGTGATCCACCAAAATTTTATTAACTATTCCATCTACCTTCTCCTTTTTAAAGATGTTACTTTTAATCAACCACCTGAACATCTTTATCTGATTTAGTTATTCTGAGAATTCCTCCATCTTTTATTTATAGTTATCTTTCTTCTGAATAATCCTTATCTCTTTTTTTTTTAAAGATTTTATTTATTTATTTGAGAGAGAGAGAATGAGAGATAGAGAGCATGAGAGGGAAGAGGGTCAGAGGGAGAAGCAGACTCCCTGCTGAGCAGGGAGCCCAATGCGGGACTCGATCCCGGGACTCCAGGATCATGACCTGAGCCGAAGGCAGTCGCTCAACCAACTGAGCCACCCAGGCGCTCAATCCTTATCTTTCCCCCAGTATAAAAACCCACTCAAGAGGGCGCCTGGGTGGCTCAGTTGGTTAAGCGACTGCCTTCGGCTCAGGTCATGATCCTGGAGTCCCGGGATCGAGTCCCGCATCGGGCTCTCTGCTCAGCAGGGAGTCTGCTTCTCCCTCTGACCCAACCTCCTCTCATGCTCTCTCTCTTTCTCTCATTCTCTCTCTCAAATAAATAAATAAAATCTTAAAAAAAATAAAAAATAAATAAATAAATAAAAACCCACTCAAGAGAGCTGAACAGAGATGCCTAACATCATGCCTCAATCATACTGTCTCCCCTTTTACCATGTCAATCAGCTGGCTCAGAGGGATGGCGATAGAAGGTATGGTTTCATACTGAATCACACGCTGTAATCTACACCTTTAAGAGCCTCTAGCTGCTTCTCCAATGCCTTTATTTTTACTAGAAGCGGGGGGGCGGGGGCAGCCAAGGAACCACATTCTTGGCTGACATCCCCTCAGCTTGTATCTGATTTGCAATCCATTCAGCATATGGACCTACAGACTCCAGTTCTCACTTATGTTTTCCTCCTGTTTCTGAGTGCAGCACTTGTACATAAGCAACGCAGGGATCCCATTACCAAAAATCCTTCCTCACCAGCCTCTTGTCTTCTTTTTTTCCTGTGCACTAAGTCATTTTTTTTTAAGTAGACTCCACACTCAATGTGGGGCTTGAATTCATGATCCTGAGATCAAGAATCACATGCTCTACAAACTGAGCCAGCCAGGCGCTCCCCTCTTAGTCATTATTATTTGAATTAAAATCAGGGGTTATATTAAATATCCCATCCTTATCACCAACTGCAAACATTTCACAAATATTGTAATTCAAAATACTTGCAAGACTTCACAGAACATACTCATGTGAGGTTTTCTTAAAAGCAAAGGACGTAACATAGCAAGAGAAAGAACTGCGGGGCCATATTGGGGGTCAAACATCCACGCAGCTTCCCAGATTCTTATTCACACACTCCTGTGATTCAGTCCCAGATTAAGCCACAAATATGTGAGTGATGAACCCTGGCTTCCAGAGAGTCAGAAGATTACAGTAGGAGTTTTTATGCCTTTCTGGTGACACAGTCAAGCCAGACTGTCTAACCATTATGCCAGTTGGAAACCATCAGCAACCAAACTGGGACTAGGTGTGGTCAGGAAATTTCTGGATATTAAACAACACATAATAAATCCCATGGCCCTTATCTCAGCAGAGTGTCAAAGACAGATACTCAGAAGCTCCTAGAAATAAAGCTAGAACTCTTTCAGTCCAATTTTAAGCTAATTCTATCTTAAGATGAAACAAATGCACAATATATCAAAATGTGGGGAATGCTGCTAACATAGTAATTACAGGGAAACTTATAAAATGACTAAATTAGAAGGGAGTTTTCAAACAAATAACAGTCCACCTTAAGAAAGTAGGAAAAAGACAAACTAAATCCTATAGGCAACCCTATTTACTCCGTCATCTCTCTCTCCTCGTGCCTTGGGAGTGGTCCTGCCTCAGTGGCAGCATAAATTGGCAACTCAGGAAAGCTGTTTCTATATGAGTCACCAAGAACACTGAGTAAGTCAGGGCGCCTGGGTGACTCAGTAAGTTGAGCGTCTGCCTTCAGCTCAGGTCAGGATCCCAGGGTCCTGGGATCGAGTCCCTCTTTGGGCTCCTTGCTCAGTAGGGAACCTGCTTCTTCCTCTGCCTGCCACTCCCCCTGCTTGTGCTCTCTCTCTCTCTCTGACAAATAAATAAAATCTTAAAAAAAAAATATTGGGTAAGTCACAAAAGCCACATCCCTGGAATCCCAGATCTCCCTTCTCTCAATCCATTTTCCTGCCAGCGCAGCAACAGTTCTGACTGAGGCATCTAGAGTCTAAGGGAACCCACAAATATTTAGGTTATTTGTCCTGGAAGTGATCTTGGCCACAGGAAACGGCTCTGGAACTCCTGAACATTTCTGTACTCTTCTCATCCTACTCAGCCATAATACGGGAATACTATGAGCAGGTGCCTTTCGTGGGGCATCTGTCTAGTGTGCTGCAATCTCTCTAACTCCGTATTAATCACACTTTGTGTCTGTGTCCATCATAGTTCCCACCTGGCTCCTGTGGTCTTCCAGCCAGTGACGTCTACCTACTGAATTCTGAATTCAGGGTCCTTGCCAGGTACTGGAGGCCAGTCTCCTCTTAATAGTGCTTGGGGATATGAAACATTCCATGGGGACAAGGGACTAAACTCATTCTGCTTCCAGATGCACTGGAGGTTGTCACAAAAACCTCCCCACATAGTTACTTATGGACCCACAAATTAAACTAGCACCCAGGCTGCATGACAGGTCTCACAAAGTTCCTAAGTCTTTCCCATAAGACCTTGGGTAGCAATGCAAAGTAGGCCAAACCTGGAGTGAGAGCTTTTCTCTGCCATCATCGTGTCCCCTCTGAGACATGAAAAACTGGGGACTCCCACAAACTTTATCCTTTCATGTTGGTAGAACACAACTGTGTCCTCAACACACAATGAGCAGAACCTTCCAGATTAAAAGTAGTTCAAAGAGGGGCACCTGCTTGGCTCATTCAGTTAAGCATCTGCCTTCAACTCGGGTCATGATTCCCAGGACCCTGAGATCGAGCAGGGAGCCTGCTTCTCCCTCTCCCTCTGTGCAGCCCCCCACCCCCGCTCGGGCTCTCTAATAAATAAATAAAATCTTAAAAAAATAAAAGTAGCTCAAAGAATAACCCCTTTATTATTGTACAAACATGAGTGAGGTGAGGCATGTGCTTCCAGGGCTGGAGGCCGTGAGACAATACACATCCACAATGAGCATCACACAAGATGAAAAAGTCCATGAAGATAAACCTTTGCAAGCTACCTGGAAAACCCATCTTGTGTGATTTTTTCCATGCTTAACCCAGACAAAAGGGAGGAAATGAGGCCCCCCATGGGCCATGGAGGCCAATCATGACTCCTTCTAGGGACTGTGGAGACAGCACAGGTCTACCTGCCTAAGCATGCTGGAGTGACTGACACACTGTGGGACTGACAGATGGTCATAGTGGGACGGCTTTTGCCACTGGCAAAGGGACTTGGCAGTTTACAATGTGCAACACAGCTCCTGATAGCACCTGACATACCAGGCACTCACAAGGAACCTCCCCAGTGCAGAAGTTCCTATGTCTGAGGTACCACTTTGGAATGATGGCTCCCTCACAAAGCCTACTCTCAGAGCTTCACTCTGGAGAGAGCTGTTAGGCTCAACAAGGAGATGGCACATTCCCTGTACTGCTGAGGCCTTTGTCCAGTGTGGATTTTCCAGTGCTGAATAAAGTTTGGTGCTTGGGGAAAGACTGTCCTATGTCTGCTGCACTCCTAATCACTGCTAGGAATTCTCAAATGGACAATAAGTTGGGGGCCTTGGCTAAAGGATTCCCCACATCTGCTGTGGTATTAAGGCTTTTCTCCAGTATGAATCTTCTGATGGAGAACAAGTGTGTGTTTGCGGTTAAACTCTTTCCCACATTTGCTGCACACGTAAGGCCGTTCTCCAGTATGAACTTTCCAGTGCCGAATAAGATTTGGCCTTTGGGTAAAGGCTTTCCCACATCTGCTGCACTCGTAAGGATTTTCTCCAGAGTGAACTTTCTGGTGCTGAATGAGTTTAGAGATGCAGCTAAAGGCTTTCCCACATCGGCTGCACTCATAATCACTGCTATGAATTCTCCAGTGTACATTAAGGTGGGAACTTTGGCTAAAGGCCTTCCCACACTCACTGCACTCATAAGGCCTTTCTCCAGTGTGAGTCCTCTGGTGCAGAACAAGTGTGTGTTTGCGGCTGAACTCTTTCCCACATGTGCTACATACATAAGGCCTTGCTCCTGTGTGAACTTCTTGGTGTCTAATGAGGTTAGACTTACTACTAAAGAATTTTCCACAATTACTGCACTGATAGAGTCTTTCACCCGTGTGAACTCGCCTGTGTTCAATCAGGCCAGAGATTTGTCTAAAGAATTTCCCACATTCACTGCACTCATAAGGCCTTTCTCCAGTGTGTATGGTCTCATGTTTAAAAAGGTCACAGCTTTGACTAAAGAATTTCCCACATTTGCTGCACTCATAAGGCCTTTCTCCAGTGTGGATTCTCCGGTGCCGAGTAAGTGTGTCTTTGCGGGTGAACAATTTCCCACATTCGATGCACTTGTGATGCCGCTGTCCAGGGTGAAGGGCTCCCCCAAGCCTGGTGTTCTTGTGGGACTTCATCCTAATGTGGGGGACCTGGTGCTGATGAAGGTCAGAGGTGGCTGTAAAGTCCCTTCTACCCTCACTGTGTGTATAGGTCTTCTCTGGCACATAGAATCTGCAGCTGTTCACCGAGTCCCTGCCCTCATCTCTTCTGAAGGATTTCTCTGCAGTGTGGTGCTGATGGACGTTTGCACTGAGCCAGAAGTGCTTCCAACAGGCCCCGCCCGTGTGTGGTTCCAACCTGGCTTCTCCCCCCTGGTATTCAGTCAGGTGTAAGATTTCTTTCAATATTGAGCCAGATATGTCACATGGCTGGGGCTTCAGACCTGCCACCGGAGTCCTGACTTGTGACCCTCCTTCTAAAGAAACACTCTGCTCAGGGGATGTAGCCTCATCCTCCACTGCACACCAACCACCTGAAAGCAGAGAAGTACCGTTGACATGCATGTGAGACTTCCAGGTAGGGGCAACCCCATCACTAATGTGTGTACGACACACCTGGGAATACCTCAGTGGGACTGTTTACAGGACAAGAGAGGTAGGGACAGGCTGAGGAAGGGGTTCAATGCGGACCAGGTCTCTGAAGGTCACTGAATGAAGGGAGCCTCCTGAGGACAAGTATATGTGGACAGAGAACAGAGAACAGCAAATGGCTTCCAGTAGGTATCTGGCTGTCGAGACAGGGCACGTGCAGGCCCAGGAAGACCCACTTACAAGTGTGTAGCTGGGGCTCAAGGGTTATTTAAGGATATGTGCGCATCTCATGACATGTTAAGTGTACGCCAAAGCTGCAGAACAATGCAGACCCAGCGGGGCGGCGGCGGGGGGGGCAGCCTGGGTGCCGGGCAGATGGAAGATGGCAAGGGGCTAGAAGGCATACAGGAGATAAGCTGCAATGTCAAGAATGGGGAAGGACGGGTGTCAAGGATGGCCACCAGCCTTGAAGCCGAACACTGGTGTGAAAAGTGAGTACCGCTAGGTTTGATGCCCTTCCCTCATATCCACTCACCAAGTCCAGGTCCCTTCTGAGCCTCTCTTTCTGAGACTGGGGTCATATCCACCTGGGCAGCCATCTGGGGGTCTTCCTTTTGCTCCAGTTGGGCGACTGAGTGTGATCTGGAGGATACAATGCCTAAGAGAGGCACAGGACAGGTGAGCAACCACTACTGGCCAGAGCAAGACATCCTATGACACTCCGTAAGTTAAAAAAAAAAAATTATTACCAAAAAAAAACCTCGTGGCGGGGGTGCCTGGGTGGCTCAGTTGGTTGAGCGTCTGACTCTTGGTTTCAGCTCAGGTCATGATCCCAGGGTCATGGGATTGAGCCCCGTGTTGGGCTCCATGCTCAGCACGGGGTCTGCTTGGGATTCTCTCCCTCTCCTGCCCCTCCCCCCACTCATGCTCTCTTTCTCGCTCTCTCTCTCTCTAATGAATAAATAAAATCTTTTAAAAATTAAAAAAAAAACCTTGAAGGAAGGTTTTAGAGGAACTGCACAAAGGTCCCCATAAGTAGTGACTATGTGAGTGCCTGTAACTCCTAGTACAATTAAGCCCCAGAAAATGTCCCCTAGCGAAAGGGAGCTGATCTTTAGGCACAGAGGTGCCATAATTCTGGACATTCACCAGCCCCCAAAATGACCAAGACTACGGGATCCACTGGGCAAACGACACCTTGTGACTCCCAAGCCCTTTGCTGCATGGCTTCAGGACTGGCTCACTAAGAGATGAGAACACTCCATACAGCACAAACCCAGCACTCACAGCACGAACTCCAGAAAACCGGGAAAGAAAGCAGTACCTATGATCTGACCATGGGCAGGACAGAGCAGTCCCTGGAGAAAAAGAGAAAGCAGATGGGATTGGCATGCAGACCTTACCCAGTGAGGCTAAAAGTGCAAAGTTTTCCAGCATCACATCCTGATATAAAAGTCTCTGAGAATCATCAAGGAGCATCCATTCTTCCCGGGAGAAGGACACAAACACATCCTCTGAGATCACACAGACCTGCAATGACATGGCCAACAAGGTCCAGGAAGTCTCTTGACTGAGTATCCTCACTCTGTCTACCCACAACAATGTCATGGTCACCCACTTCCCCACTTGCCAGCCAATCCCCCCGGGGGTGCCCTAAACCATGCCTCCTAGACATACGCCTGGGCTCCCTGTTCTCACAGAAGCCCCGAGTAACGGGGCTGCAGGACCATCAGTTCCCACTGACTCCTCTTGTGCACATCACTTCTCAGACCAGCCCTCCCTCACAGCTTCAGCTACCCATCACAACTCTTCTCACCCACACCACAGACAGCACACCAGACTCCTCACATGTCGCTCTGCACACAGCATGGAGAGAGCGCTTGGCAAAACCACCAGGATCCCATCCTGCCCCAAACCTCCAGTGGCCCCAAGTGCCAAAGGAAAGCCCCCATTCCTGCTTGGAGGCCTCCCAATCTGCACCTTTTCTTCAATCTCAGGCACCCAGGACTACAGGCATATTTCAGGTACCCTCAGCCTTCTTCCGGTTCTCCGCTGCACACTGTATTAGTTTCCTATAGCTGCTCTAACAAATCGTTACCAGCTCTGCGGCTTAAGTCAACACAAATTTTTCTTCTTACAGTTGTAAAGATTATAAATCCAAAATGGGCTTCACCAGGATAAAAACAAGAAGTGATCAGGATTGTGTTCCTTCTGGCAGTTCTACAAAAGAATCTGTTTCCTTCCCTTTCCCAGTTTCTGAAGACCTCCTGCATTCCTTGACTCTCTGCCCTTTCCTCCGTCTCAGAGCCAGCAATTACTATCACTCTGACCTCTGGTTACTTCCTGAAATCTTGGACTCCATCCTCCTGCGACCACACTGGGCCCACCGGATAATCTCTCCATGTTGTTAATATACTTAATTTAATCACACACATAAAGTCCCTTTTGCCACACGAGGTAACATATCCAGAGGCTCAAGGGATTAGAACATGCATGGCTTTGGGAAGCCATTATTTTCTCTCTTAGACACATGCTGTGCCCTCACAGTCCGACCCTCTCACCCCACCTAACCCTCTGAACACCCACTTGACAACAGACCTTCCGGGCTCAGGTGGTGGCCGCAGCATGTTCACACCTCTGAGTCATCTCTGCCTCCCCACCTCCCCTCTCGCAATGCACTGCAGCCCACAAAACAGGCCCAAGTAAAGTAAGGAAAACACAACCTGTTCTGCCCCCTTTACAGCAATCACTCTGACACAGCTCATCAATACTCCCTGGGACTATAGTCATAGCCTCCCCCTTGGTTCTCCTGTGGTGTGACCACATATAAACGTAAAATTCTTCCAGTTATAAAACAAATAAGTCATGGGGGTGAAAAGTATAACGTAAGAAATATAGTCAATAATACTGTAATAATTTGGTATAGTGACTAGACTCATCTTGCTGAGCATTTCATAATGTATTTAACTGTCAAATCACTATTGTGAAAATTAATACAAGGAAACCTCACTAAAATGGACTTGGGAGGTACGGGAAGGGGACCTGTCATATGCCCTACCGCTCACAGTCCTCTACAAATATGAGACAGACCTTGCGCATGGAAACTACTATCCCATCCCAGAAGGAGGAAAGGCTTTCCTCGCACATTCCCCAACAGCCCAGCCAATGAGAGAGGATCACAGCTCTCAGCCCAGCCCATAAGAAGCAACTATACTTCAAACTCCCAGTTTTCTTCAATGGACTTTTTGTTTTTAAGAGCCTTCCCAACTTCCACCTTCCCCTAATAAGCATATTCCTCTCCTTTGTTTGGGAAACTTGCCTATGGTTTTGCCATAACTTGCTTGACCAGGATTGCAGTTCTCTTGCGATTCCTAAATAAACCCATCTCTTGCTGGCAAAATAATTGGCAGTTTTATTTTTATGGTTGACACTATACTGTACACCTGAAACTAATATGTCAACTGGACTTCAACTAAAAATATTAAAATAAATAAAATTGTGTTAAAAAAATAAATGAATGAATACAAACATACATAAGTTTTCTGACCCACCACCTTTGCAACAACCAGCAGAAGCCAAACCACAACCACTGCAGCAACTGGACCAGGAGGGTCAAGACTCAGTAAAAACTTCCATCGTTCCTAACTTTTGCACCTGCTTCCAATTTGGGGCCAATCAGCTTTCCCACTCCCTTGCCTGCCTTTAAGCCTCAGCCAAATGCAAGTGATGGTACCAGCAAGCTCTGAATAAATAGCCTTTGCTTGTTCTCATTTGGGTGGCTTATTTTATTTCCACACACCCGCCTCCACCAGCACCCCAGCCCTTCACAATCTTCTCCACTCTGCAGTGAGGGAGCCTGCTGAGAGCGCTCCAAATTCCCTATGGCTCCCGCCACCCTCAGGACAGAGGTTGAGCTTACCATTTTAGGCTAGAATTCTCGCCCTCTGCTGCCTCCACCAGAAAGGAATGAGACCCATGGTGTGTTGAACACAGCTCAGCCTCACCTCCAAGCATCTCTACCTGCCTAGGATGGGTTTATCTCTCTGGGTCCTACTGGGGAATCTCTCCACATAACTGCTTGCTTGGACTGAGTCCATGTCCTCAGGGCGCAGAGACACAATTTCGGGGATGGAATAAAGGAACAAATATTCCATTTGGGGGAAGGTGAGCGCACAGCCATAAGCTTAGCAGTCCTCACTGAAGCCTGTAGATAAAACAAGAGTAGCAGCACGACGGCTGGAGATGGAGATGCTAGTGCTCCCCTTGGTCACTCTACACCCCTAGAAACCAACATACCACATAGAGGTATATTAATCTTACAGCACAGGCACAAGAAAAGCAGCAGCCAAAAGAGCCACCACAATGGCTGCCATTTTGGGCCTGGACCTTGTCACGGTGTCCCCGGTCTGTGAAGACCTCCACTCGTGGTGCAAGTGGACCGTGGGCTCTGTCCTCCTCTTTCATCCTCTCGTCTGGGGTGGGGGTGGGGCTCCTGAGTGTTGTGATCCTCCTCTGGAACCAGGTCACACTCACTGGCTTCACCCTGACATTTTGGTGCAAGTTCACCACCTCCTTCCTCGTCTTTCTGAATGCCATCAGTGGCCTTCACATCAAGAGCATCGCCCATCCCTAGAGCCAACCAAAGAAATTTCAGGACCCCCTCCTAAACCTGAGGACAGCAGGTTCTATAAGAAAGTGTGGGTCAAGATGGGACTTTTCCAGCATGTGAGCTCTGGTGGGGGTAGGGGTGGGACAATGCCCTTGACACTGCTGCCTCTTAACCAGTAACCTTTGTGTGGTGGGCCACAATCAGCCCAGTGGCCTTTGCTGCTGACATGTAGGGCCAGGGGCCAGAAGGGTGCCTCTGTTCCACCAGCTGCACAGGCTTAACCAAGTTATTAGGATGTTGATTTTAGAAGAAGTAACACATTTTAAAACCCTTTCCTTGAATCCTTCTTCCCAGGATGGGAATAGATTTGGAAGCAGCTTGGGTAACTGGTGCCCAGGCTGGCTGCACAGCTAAGTGCAGTTCACACCTGCTTCATTGACTGTGTGTTGGCATAGAGGCCGCAGAGTCCCTGGAGTCCACTGGGGTCGCCCAAAGTGGATCATTCTTGCAGCTAGGCATAAGCAGTCAGTGCCCATGACTCTTCCACAGCTCAAAAAGTCTCTGTGCACATTTCCCTGCTACAGCTTTGGTCATGTTAGGGAGACAGAATTTAGAATTCCCCTGATTTCTTGCACACAGGTTTTCATACCATTTGACTTAATTTGAACCCTGCCCTTTTGGGGGGGGGGTTCCATTATCTCTGAATAACCGTAGTTTCCAGCAGTCAGCTATCCCCTCTGCCTGTGGGAATCCTGCCTTAACTCTTTGAGCAAGTCTCCCAGGATGGCCCACCTGCCTTCCAATACACAGTCCTCTCTGAAAACAAACAAACAAAACAAAACAATATAGCCACCACAAAGAAGAGACTCTGGAAAACCTGCTGTGACTGAAGCACTGGCAGGAAGACTCCCTCTCCTGGGCCATCACTGGCCGGGAGCTGCCACCTCACGTTGCAGAGCCTTCTGGGTATTGTAGTAACCACAATTCCACAGGGCTCAGAAAGGAAGCCAGGGTGGTCAGAAGGTGGAAGGCAAAGGAATCATTTATTGAAAGCCTAAGGTATGCTGAGCTTGCCAGTTGCTCCCAAGCCACATTTTGCGCTTCATGCCTCCTCTTCAAGTCTCCAGCAGGTGGCCCATGCCCTAAGCATGAATGAACTGTCCCTGGGTATTTTGGAGGTTCAGGATTTGTATATCTCAGCCTCACCTTTCCTAATTGTTTTAAAGGTTTATTTACTTATCCGAGAGAGCGAAAAGAGAGAGAGAGAGAGAGAGCATGAGCAGGTGGAAGGGCAAAGGGAGAGAGAGAATCCACAAGCAGACTCCCGGCTGAGTGGGGAGCCAAACCTAGAGCTCAATCCCAGGACCCTGAGATCACGACCTAAGCCAAAACCAAGAGTCAGACGCTTAATCCACTGAGCCACCCAAGTGTGCCTCACCCCTCCTAATTCGGGACACGAGGAGAACAGTTTCACCTCCGTGATATAAAATGAAAAATGAAGACAAAACCTCCCTGGCAGACCTCTCTGATGATATTTAAATGTTCCTCACACATAACGCTCCATTTATTAAAATGGCAAGAAAAAACAGTACCTACATCTTGGTGATGTTATATATAAAGCACTAAAAATAAGGCACACAGTTAGCGCTGGATACGAACCTCATCACCACAAAACAGGGCTCTCACGTACCCACGTGGTAGAAGGTGAGTCCAGATTGCCTATTTGCAGAATTAAAGACAGTATCTATGAAAATTCAAATACACATACCCCAGACCAACAAGTAGCCTTAGCAAGAATGATTAAAAATTTTACAGGATGGCATAGTGTGTACAATCTGTGACATTCAAAATTATTCCAAGAAAAAAGTTATCAAACATACAGAATGCTTTTGTACATTTCGGGTAGCCCATTGCACAAAGG